TGAGAGCTTTGGAATGGTAGTTAGTTGGAGTAGCTGGCATTTACCGGTTTTTGAGAAAATCGAGTTTGAAGTTTTTGACTAAATTTTAACTAAAATCCAACTTTGAAGCTGAATTGCTCTAGAAGTATTCACGTTATCAAACTCAATCTAGCACTGATTTATAGAGAATTTGATGCTCTTTCCAACCATATATAATTTATTTTGATTTGCTCAAAATTTAATGGAAGTATTGGCAATTGCTCCTAACCTTGTCAGAATTTAAAAAAAATTTAGATCTGAAAATTAAGATTTTTTTTTTGATTTTTTTTCTCTTTTGAAATCGAGATTTGGAAATGAAGTTAGAATTTTTTTCGACTAATTTAAATTCGCTCTATCGATTGGAAAAGTCAAAATTCAAAAAATCTGAAAAATAAAAATTTCGATTTTTTCAAAATTTTCAAATTCAATTTTCTCTAAACCCGTGGAAGATTTTAGGTCCATTTTTTTTAGGATTGTAGCCCTTAATAAGAGCTTCGGAATGGTACTTAGTTGAAGTCGCTGGCATTTACGGTTTTTGAGAAAATCGAGTTTGAAGTTTTTGACTATATTTTAACTAAAATCCAACTTTGAGGCTCAATTGCTCTAAAAGTATTCACGTTATCAAACTCAATCTAGCACTGATTTATAGAGAATTTGATGCTCTTTCCAATCATATATAATTTGTTTTGATTTGTTCAAATTTCTTTGAAGATATTGGCCATTATTCCTAACCTTGTCAAGATTTTAAAAAAATTCCAGAACGAAAATTGTGATTTTTTAGCTTTTTGAATTCGCCATTTTGAAAGTGATGTTAGAATTTTTTTCGATTAATTTAAAACCGCTAAATCAATTGGAAAAGTCAAAATTTTGAAAATATGAAAAATAAAAATTTAGAATTTTCGATTGGTTTGACTGAAATCCATAAGCAACGCCACTGGCCAAACAAAATACATGTTGCCAACTTGAAAAATAACCGGCCAATAGCAACAAGAGCCTGGAATAAACAGAAATTGAAATATAGAAAGGGAAACATATATAAATAGGTATATCAAAAGAACAAATACAAATTTATATAAAAATTAAAGGACCTCACACACCACTTATGGGTATTTGGTTTTCTGTCAAACAAATGAAATTTGTATAATGAAGTAAAATTTAAATACATTACGAGGGATGTTTATAAAGTGTATGCCATTGTTAAAAATATTTAAAATTTATGAAATTTCAAAATTGCCATTTTTCAAAAAGTTTTTCACCAATCACCAGATTTTTCATAAAATAACCAGATCTGGTGAAATTTCACCAGACCTGGCATCACTGGTTAGAGAGGCAACAAATGAACAGCAAACAAGGGAAATTATAACTTGCATAAGGGATGGAAATCATGATAAAATTACTGACAGGAAAATGATTGCGGACTTTGCAAATAATTTTTTTTCAAATATATAGGCAAACAAATGTCTGATAAAATTGAAGACCCAACAAGTCCATTTCGTTTTACTGACAGTCCTTTTTTCTCAATGTTCTTGAAGCCAAACAGACAGAAATGAAATCATAGAACACATAAATAGTTGTTTTCCAGGATTAGACAAAATTACCAACAAAATAATTAAACAACTGCATGTTTATCTCTTAGATCCCATGGTTTATATTATTAATTTAATTTTTAAAACAGGAAAAGTCCCTCCACAATTCAAAACGTCCGTTGTAACACCAATACATAAGTCTGGAGACAAAGAAGATATAAACCACTATAGACCAATAAGTGTCATCTCAAATCTGGCAAAAATTTTTGAAAAATGTCTTAAATCTAGATTGGTTGAGTTTTTGAACTCCAATAATTTACTATCTAAAAATCAATTTGGTTTCTTGCCTGGTTTGAGTACGTCACATGCAATGTATGAACTAGTGTCAAAAATAATGTCTCACTTGAACAATGGTGATAAATGTTTCTGGACTTAGCGAAGGCATTTGACACGGTATCGCATCCCTTGCTTCTTCAAGTCTTATGGGATTAGGGGTACCGTGTTGGATGTCTTTGCTGATTACCTGGCTCATATAGGACTCAATTTGTTTAAGGTTGCAGAGACCCTAAGTGAACCAAAAACAGTTCAACATGGTGTTCCACAAGGTACGGTACTTTTTAATGTTTATGTAAATTTTCTGTGTAAATTTGAAGTTGATGGAAAGCTGATAGCATATTATGCTGATGATACAGTGGTGGTGTTTCATGCGAGGACATGTGGGAGTTGGCACGCTCAAAACTAAAATGTGGCTTCGATAAAATCAAAACCTTTTTAGACACTTTCAAATTAACCTTAAATATAAAAAAAATCTCATTATATTGCTTTCTCCATAACCATGGCAAATAGACCAAGATTTGATCATATTGTACTTGACAATATTGAAAGAGGTAACTCATATCAAGTATTTGGGGATTGTTGTTGATAAACACTTGAAGTGGGAACAACATGTGCTTTACTTGAATAAAAGAATTAGATTTTTCATTCATAAATTTTATATTCTGCGTAACATTTTGAGTCGGAAGACAATAGTAATGATTTATAAGGTACTTGTTGAGCCCCTATTAAGATATGGCATAATTGTATGGGGAGGAATGTATAGTACAAACCTGGGACAGTTGAAGGTAATCCAGAACTACATTGTTAAAATAATTCTGGATAGGCCTTTACAAAGCAACTTTATTCCGTTGAAATAAGTAATATCAAAATCTTGTATATTATTGCAGTATGCAGTTTTGTACATGGAAATGAACAATTAAAGTCAAATGTTGTAGGTATCACATTCTCATATAACTCGAGTGAACACTGCCCAAAATCTAAATGTGACTTAAATCTGCATTTTTTGACATACCTAGCACCTAAGTTCTATAACTTAATTCCTGGTAGCATTAAGGGGGCTGAAAGAAATAAAAAGTTTAATGTTTTGTTTAAAGGGTATTTGCTGGGAAAATTTTACATGTCTTTTTTGAATTTTTGTTTGTTATCTTTGTTGTTTGAATTTGTTAAACATATTCAAACACTTTAATTGTAAAATTCATGAATATTTAAATTTTTTTATAAGAATTAGTAAGCGCATACAGGTTTCTTTTAAACTTAGGTGCTAAATATAGAATAATTTTATTGTTCGTTTTTTGGATAATTCATATACCTACCTACATAAATTATATTTATTTTGTTAAATAAAAGTGGTAGGGATCAGGGATACTGTTCTCTCCAAACTTGTAAACTTAGAGATATTTTCGAAAAATCAACGCAAGACCAAGTTTGCATGTTATTACAACAGTTTTATAATTTTACATTCGAGAAAAATAGCAACATGACTCTACACATCAGTAAAATTGAAAATTTGGCTCACAAACTTAAAACTTTAAACCAAATAATAAATGATAAAATGATTATTAGTAAAATCCTGTCAACGTTACCATCCCATTATAAATATTTTATAACTGCATGGGAGTCTACATCCATAACCGAAAGAACATTAACAAATCTTACAGCTAGATCAAAAGACAAAGAATCTGAAGCAATAGTTTTCAAAACTAATGAAAAATTTTGCTATAAATGCAAAAGTAAAAACATAACATGCTTCAATTTTAAAAAAAACTGGACATTTTGCTAATGATTGTTTTTCAAGAGCAAAGCCAAGACAATGTGAAATTTGCAAGAAAACAAATCATTCAGAGGAAGATTGTTACTTCAGAAATAAAAATAGACATGATGGACAAAATAACAAACAAGCAGGAAATTCAAAAGACGAAAGAAAAGTAGCTTTTTTGGTAGAAAATGAAAATAAAAACATCTGGAAGTTCAGCTCACATGGTAAAAGAAAAAAACCTATTTTCTACAATGCAAGAAATAAGTTCGAACATAATGGTAGCTAAAAAAGATGAAAATATGAAAGCACTAGGAAAAGGAAGTGTTGAAAGTAGGTACATCATGCATCTTAAAAAATGTACTATATGTGCCTGATTTGTCCAAAAACTTACTATCAGTAAACTCAATCACAGAAAATGAGTATATTTTTCAAAAGATAAAGTTATAATAATAACATAGAAATAGTTAAAGGAAATAAATGTATGTTGTAAAACTAAACCAAGAAGATCAAGGACTTATGGTTGAAGAAAACAAAAACAATGGTAAAAATTGGCACAGAAAATTAAGTCATCCAGGAATTGTAAATATGAAAAAACTATTAGACTTAAGGCTGGTTCATGCATAAATTTTTTTTCTGTTTCTTTAACTTTTTCCTTATGCATAAGCTTTTCTTTTTCCATAAAATTTGAGGTATTTCATGCACCAAAAATTAAGAGTTTTTATCAGTCTTTAATAATGACATTGTTGACGTGTATGGGAAACTGCGAACGGTTTGTTGGGTTTTATCAGGGTGTTATAAATATTATTTCCCACGTTATTTTCAATTCAGACACGTATTTTAAGTCGTATTTGTTGTTTCCTTTAAAAAATTTCCTGTTTTTGAGGTTAAGTCGAGAAATATGGATGTTTTCATCTACTGCGCAGGCGCCATCGAATTTATCTGTAACTTTATTTGTAAAAGATAAAAGTTAACTATCTTTAATAGAGAATAAAGAAAATGATACGAAAAAGTAATGTGCATGAACACCTGCATATAAATACATGCAACTTATACATTACTTACGGATATAGATAGCGACTAAGTTACGGAAACGGAAAATATTTTCATGCATGAACCAGCCTTAAGAGAAAAGGCTAAAAGAGTTCTAGAAATTTTGCATACAGACGTTTGTGGCCCTATAGATCCAATTACATGGGACGAAAAAAAGTATATTTTAACAATTATTGTAGGATTATAAATACGTCATTAATAAATACTATACAATTGGCACGGAAAATCACAATAACAACTTCACAACTAAGTATAGGTACACGTCTTGGTCGTTTTACGGCTTTAGAAATATACGTCTTGATAATTAAATTTACCTCGTCTAAGAAAAATCCCTCCACGGCCGTCTTCCGCCTTCAGCGTTCAATTAACGACTGACCCCTCTTTTTAATATTATTCGTTCGGGGCTACTTCCCAACTGGCGCCGTGCCATTCGGTGCCACCCTGTTACACGAGACCAGCGTTGCCAGACTCTAAATATGGAAGTGTGGTACACAATGCTTAAAAACTGTCGTACAGGGACGTACGCGCCACGAATACTTGTGGTACACATTAGAGAGTTATTGGAACTATTAAATACTGCCTCGCAATATTAGGGATTTACCTTATTTTATTAGTGCATCAGCACTATTTTTCCAAGAAAAAAACAGTTATTGGAAGACTGTAGTAGGTGCTAGAGTATTATCTTATTTTGTATTCATAATTTTGACAGATGATAGCTATGTTTATAAATTTCAGCCTCAAAAAGTGTTTATTTTTGTTTGTGATTTTCTGCTGATACTCATTTTTTGATGTTACCCACAGTAAAATGGAAAACTATTGTAAAAAATAAATTTTCTAAGTAAAATTACGTCATCGTCGAAAAGTAGAACGTCAAAGTCGTCCAAAATGTCAGAAATTTGAAATAAGGGAAGTTTACTGCCTCGCACTAACCATACACAAATAAAGACAAGCAGTAACTTTATTAAGGGAATCCTTATTTTCGGACCCAAATGCGCATGCGTAGATGTCAAAATAAGGCTAATTTAAATACTGCTTGTCCTTATTGCACATCCAATAACTCTCTATTACCTTACGTTTTTAGTACATATTTACTAGAAAAAAATGTGACTTTTTTGAGATCGCAAAATGTTGAAAATTTGAAAATAGACCTTGCATTAAAAATTACAGCAACAGAAGTAACGGGAAATTGAATGAAACTATTTATTAAAGTCTCGAATAAAGTATTTCGTGGGTAATAAGTCAAATTGAAATAAATTCTTTTATAATGTTGACAATAGAGAGTTATTGGAGATTTCAAAATAAAGCTAGCAGTAATAAGACAACTACCCTATTTAAATAGCGTTTTACCTAAGCGCGGTTGGGAAGGGAATCCAAACCACGTGACTTTTGCCAACCAGTCGGCATTTTGGCATTTTTATAAGGTTTAGAAGACGGGTTTTTATATGTCAGCGATGTCAGAAAAGTGTCAGATTTCAGAACTTATCCCTTGTATTCATCTGACAGCTTAGCTTTGCTGACAAATTTCAAAAATCCGTTAAAATAAGGGCAAATTATATCGGGTCTTCAAAAAAAAAAACTAATCGAAGATTGCTTTGGTTACGAAAACGTACGTCGCATTATTGTTTGTTTATTGGTCAGGATTTTTGACATGACATTTTGACATTAAATTTCATTGACTGATATTGTCAAAATTAAACAAAAATATTGCTAAGACGTACGTTTAAAAAACCATAGCAATCTTTGATTGTTTTTTTGTTTTGAAGACCCGATATTAGGCAATTCAATCCATCTGTCAAAACGGAAAATTCAATGTGACGTGGCGGCCAAGCAAGTTTATTTTTATGCGTATTTTAAATTATTTTGCATACAGTTTTTGCTTACAACTTTGATTTTCATTATTTAATAAAATATTTGTTGACTAGGTACCTGAACTATTCAATTCCGGCAGAAACTAGATATTTTTTTGTGTTTTTTGGCCCATGTGTGGCCGCCACGCCATCTTGAATGTCACGTGGTTTGAATTGCCTAATTATCAGTGCGTGACTTTATTCGTGCAGTAATAAAGTCTAGCACAAACGTTAATAAAACTAGCCTTATTCAACGGCGCAGATGTCAATATAGCGTTTGCGTTATTACTGCTGGACCTTATTTCACTTCCAATAACTCTCTATAATTGCGTTAAAGTGAAAATTACTGTCAAAAAAATGTCTATCCGAGTAATCCTCGAACAAGCCGAACATTGATAAATGCTCAAAAATTTTATAACAATTTTCTCAAGCTTGTTATAAGGCAATTTTTCGCGAGGATAATTAAGCATAATCTGATTATGCTGGGTTATGTGATGTGTCAATTGTGTCATACTTCCCTAAAGCTTAAAGCTTAATTTTCACACGAATTTCGCGCAAATGAGAATGAGGCATAAATTGGACATAATTCCCTCTCCATCAAATTTTGGGTTTGCGAGTGACGTCACTATCAGCAGCTTATAGTGATGACGTCACCCGCAGACCTTGATGGCATGCTCGCCATTCGGGCTGTGCTAGTGAGTTAATTTTTTCATCGATTTTAAATGTAGAAAAAAATATTTTCGGTCTGTTTTCACACAAGTAATGTGTTCTTGATCCTCGAGTATTCCAGAATTTGATGGTGGGGGAGTTAGAGGAGTATGATACATCACATAATCCAGCATAATCGATTAATTATGCTTGATTATTTCATTCATTATAAAATAGACCTATCAGACAACGTCATTTTTTGAATGAATTTTGTTTAAATAAGTGATTATTTCACAAGACCTTGTTTATCAGCGATTAAATTTTTGTTTACCTTTTTTGACAGAATTTTGATAGAAATATTCTGACTTTTTATAATAAATAAAATTCTTTGGATAGGATTGACGCCAATAATTAAATCCTAATTATTCAGGAAATAATCTAGCCGTATACCACTCGACCTATAAATTTAAATGGATTAAACTATCGAAATATTTTTTGCATAATTTTGCTTTTTGGCAAATAGTTTCATGCACAATAACTTTTAAATAAAAGCCTTCAAGCAACAAGTTTTCAAAATCTTTTATAAATTTTTAACCTGATTTGGCCAACACACATAAGAAAAAAAGGAGAATTTAAAGGCCTACATATTACCATAAAATATTACCCAATCAACCCAATATTTCAAAACTGTGGTACATTACCCTACTACCGTACGCATTGATTTTCTTGTAACGAACATTCCCTAAACTGTGGTACAAATACCGCACCTGTCGTACGTTTGGCAACGCTGCACGAGACGATATTCAGCCCAAGCAAGCCATGCCGACGTTGCCAAATGAACCGTTATCGTTTTGGCGGTGTTTAATATTGTATTTATAGAATGCTTTGGCCACTACCCGCAGGTTGGTGGCCATGGGCGTCGTTACGAGGTTTCACAGGGAGGGGGGCAGTATTATAATAAGACCATTTCCATTAGCGCCGCAGGCAACCGCCGTAAGCTAATTTTTTTCGGTGCCAAGCCCCTTTTTGAGCATTTTAACGTACTTATTTGATATCGATATTTGTTAAAAATGATGGAATTTTTTTCCGCAACAAATTCACTATTTGCATCATTTGTTTAGGTAATTTTCCAATGGTCGGTAATATATTATAATGCACTGAATCGATGATTGAGTTTCAACCTTCGGTTGACTCCATGCAAATTGATAGGATTCAACCGAAGGTTGGAACTTGAAACTCTACCATCGGTTCAGTTCAGTGTTTTATAATACCGGCTCTAAGTCAAGTGAAATTCAATTCTGTTGAATATAATGAAAAATGTCAGCCAATTTTTCAAAGTACAGTAGACTCGCGCTCAGTGTTGTCGAAGCTACCGAAATTTCGGTATTTCTACCGAAATGGCAACGGACCTACCAAAATACCGAATACTCATGAATTTCTACCGATTTTCGACAATAATCACTATTTTACCGATTTTTTTACCGTTTTTCGCCAAAAAATCAATTTTATCGATTTTTCTATCGATACCCGATTTACTATCAAATTGTTTGTTCGTGTCAGATGTCAAATAGATCCTCCGACGACAAATTTGTTAGCAATTATGGTTGGTATCAGTGCATTTCTTTCAGGGAATACCCGTGGGTCCTGTGATATCCGAATTTGTTTATAATATCTTGTCATTGCCCCATTCTTCCGCCAATGTTGAGCGCACATTCTTAGGAATAAATAGAATGAAAACAGCACAAAATAATAAACTTTCTATGGAAACAATGACTGGGCTTTTACATACTCAACGAAATAGAAAACTAAAAACAAAACACGGCTGGATTTTATTCTTTATGATATACCCATCTGATTATACCCAAGAATAATACATACTACTACTACAGGATAGCCTATCCTCATATAACCTGTGTAGAACAAATCTGAAGCCCCCACTACGCCAAATCACCAGTTGTGACGTCGTTTAAGGCCTTGTGTTTGCATCACTGGTTATGATTCCGCGGTCCTTTGCTTTATGCATTAGGCCGTGATTATGATAGAACTATGATAAACGATAAAAGCAACGATACCAATAATACTATAACATTAGTATCGTTGCTTTTATCGTGTATCACAGCTCCAACATAAACACGACCTTAGGCAATCCAATCCTATCTGTCAAAAAGGAATATTCAATATGGCGTGGCGGCCAAGCAAGTTTGTTTTGAATAAGTTTTTATGCGTATTATAAATTATTTTGCTTAGATTTTTGCTTGCAACTTTAATCTTGATTATTTAATAGAATATTTTTTGACTAGGTACGTCAACTATGAAGTCGGACAGAAACTAGTAGTCAACCATCCAAGGACCTTTTTTTTCAGTTATACATGTAAACCCCATACTTTGTGAGTGGCTTGCTTACATCAACTTTTCCTCTACGACTTTTCTCGGAAATGGCACGTATGCGCGCAGGAGGCGACTCGCAAACATTTTAGGGGTATCGGACTCCCCCAATTTGCCATTATTTTTGTCGGCCAAGTTGATTTCCGTGATTTAGACATAAAAATCAAACAGTATTCTTAAAATTAGATTTACCTACATGTATCAAGAAACATAGCTACGTCAGATCGACATGTTTGCGAGTCGCCTGCGCGCATACGTGCCATTTCCGAGAAAAGTCGTAGAGGAAAAGTTGTAGGACTTGATGTAAGCAAGCCACTCACAAAGTATGGGGTTTACATGTATAACTGAAAAAAAAGGTCCTTGGATGGTTGACTATAGATATTTTTTTGTGTTTTTTGGCCCACGTGTGGCCGCCACGTCATCTTGAATGTCACGTGATTTGGATTGCCTAATACTTGGTCTTACTACATTA